CTGTGCCCAGCCTTAAAATGAATTTCTTTTTTTCTTTTATTTTTTTTGAGGGGAGAAGGACAGGGTCTTGCCTTGTCGCCCAGGCTGGAGTACAGTGGCAGGATCATGGCTCACTGCAGCCTCAGCATCCTGGGCTCAAGCAATCTTCTAACCTCAGCCTCCCGAGTAGCTGGAACTAGCATTCCAACACACCTGGCTAATTTTTGTTTTTTTGTAGAGATGGGGTTTTGCCATCTTACCTAGGCAGTCTCGAACTCCTGAGCTGAAGCAATCAACTTACTTTGGCTTCCCAAAGTGTTGGAATTACAGACATGAGCCACTGTGCCTGGCCAAAATGTATTTCTTACTATGGGTTTTGGTAAGAAAAATTTGAGAAACACTGGGCTAAAGTGATTAACAACAGAATTAGACACTTTGCAAAGTAACACATTCTACGCTGCCATTGTAGCAGAGGCGGAATGTCATTGATTTAGGGTGACTGCAGTTGGTAGGAAGTGGGACTGTATGACCTCTCAGGATTGTTCCAACATCAACCCTTTCTTTTTCTTTTTTTTAAAGACGGGGTTTCACCATGTTGGTCAGTCTGGTCTTGAACTCCTGAACTCAGGTGATCCGCCCGCCTTGGCCTCCAAAGTGCTTGGAATACAGGCTTGAGCCACCGCGCCCAGCCCCAACTTCAACACTTTCAAACTATTTTGTTGCAGTTACATGATATACTACATATGTTCGTGTTTCTTACAATGAGATCCTGAAATAAATCAAGTTATACTATAAAATGCCAGCATAAGTTGTTGGGTTTTTTTTTAAGATATTCTAAAAATGAGAGAAGCTATTGGTTCTACTTTGTATATTAATTGTTTTAGGTATATTTGCTGTTGAACAGGTGCACTTAATTTATTTGGTTTTACTGGTTATGAAAGATTAGAGACAGAAAAATGAGTCCTTTTTCCTAAAGAGGTTATAGGTCAAAGGCTGAGGGTAGAGAATTTGTACCACTAAATTCTAGAAAGATAATTTAATTCTGCTTTTAAATAATAATTCTGTCAAAAACAGCCTATTTGCTTCTATTACCCAGACTTCTGTGTTACATTTCCAGACCTTTATTCAATGTGAAATCATAAAAGCTCCAGGCTTGAAGTGGCCAAAACATATTATGGCTGCATCACAGCTTATAAAGTAAAAATTCTAATATATCAATCACACTAGAAAAACACTGAAGCTTGGCACTGGGATGGAGTAAAAATGGTAAAATACCAATCATCTAGAGTTCTTAGGGATGAATTATTCTGGTGCATTATTTTCTAAGGAATGAGAACTACTGAAAGCAATAATGTCCTTTGAGACCCTAGTGTAAAGAAGCCATAGAAATCTGGCATGTCCTTTTCTGAGTGCTGTCACTTCTCACCATTCAAATACTGCAGTGTCCTTAGGACCAGTGACAGCATGCAGTCTGCTCACTGTGCCTGTGGTTTCAAATTAGCTGTTGCAAAACTGAGATAAAATGACCTTGCTGGCAGCTCAGTATCAATTTTACATAATGTCAAAATATGGCACTGGTATCAGTAACATGATTAAGAAGGGAGATGTACTCACCATCGTCTTTTATGTTTTGTCTCAGAGGCCATTCCACCTAAGAGATGACCAGGTTCCATGATGGAACTGCAACCTTAAACTCCTGGGCCCAAGGGATCCTCCTGCCTTGGCCTCCCACAGTGCTGGGATTACAGGGTGAGCCATCATGCTCACTTGAATCTGAGAGGCGGAAATTGCAGTGAGCTGAGATTTTGCCACTGTACTCCAGCCTGGCGACAGAGCAAAACTCTGTCTCAGCAAACAAACAGCCCAGGCTGGGTACGGTGGCTCATGCCTATAATCCCAACACTTTGGGAGACTGAGGTAGAAGAATTGCTTGAGCCCAGGAGTTCAAGACCAGCCTGAGTAACATAGTAGGACCCCATTTCTACAAAAAAATTAAAACATTAGCTGGGTGTGGTGGCCTCCTATAGTTGGGAGGCTGAGGCAGGAGATTCACATGAGTCCAGGAGTTTGATGCTGCAGTGAGCCATGATCACATCACTGCACTCTAGCCTGGGTGGCAGAGTAAGACTGTGTCTCAAATAAAAATAAACAAAAAATAAAAAAGCATGACCACCTCCTTCCACTCTTTCTCCTGCTCCTGCTCCCGAGTGTGAAACATGGGTTGAGTTGTGCCCCCAAAATTATATGCTGAAGTCTTAAACCCTGGTACCTACACAGGAGACCTTAATTTGGAAATAGGGTCTTTGCAGATATAGTCAAGTTAAGATAGGCCATTCTGAATTATGGTGGTATATCATTATAAAGAGATATCTGGAAAAATGAGGACATTGAAAAGACACACACAGGGGCTGGGCGCGGTAGCTCACACCTGTAATCCTAGCACTTTGGGAGGCCAAAGAAGGGCGGATTGCTTGAGGCCAGGAGTTCAAGACCAGCCTAGGCAACAGGCTGATCTCAAAAAAACAAAAACAAAAACAAAACCACACACACAGAAGGAAGAGCGTCATATGAAGACAGAAGCAGAGGTTGGAATGATGGAGCTACAATGGAAGGAATGCCAAGGACTGCTGGCACCCACCAGAAACTAGGAAGAGGCAAGGAAGGACTCTGCCCTACACCTTCAGAGGGAGCATGGATCTGGCAAGGAAGTTTTCACTCAGAAAAAAAAAAAAGAGGAAAAACATTCTAGGTAGAAGATACAGTTCGAGCCAAGGCACAAACTAGTATAATCAGAAAAATAGGAAGTAAGTTATTCAATATGGCTGGAGCACAGGATGCAAAAGAGATGGTGAGAGATGGGTGGAGCACCATATTTGCCTTCTTAAAGAGACTGGATTAAACCTTGTAAGCACTGGGGGGTTTTATGCAAAGGAGAGAGGGGATTTAGTATTTGATCAAACCAGAGAGCAGTAAGAACAGCATTGGCAGTGACACCAGGTAGGAGGCAGTTGTAATCTAGACAAAATGGTAGGGGTAGAAATGGAAGGGGTTGGGCTGAGTGTGGTGGCTCATGCCTGTAATCCCAGCACTTTAGAGGCCAAGGTGAGCAGATCACTTGAGGTCAGACATTCGAGATCAGCCTGGTCAACATAGTGAAACCCCCGTCTCTACTAAAAACACAAAAATTAGCCAGGTATGGTGGCATGTGCCTCCTGTAATCCCAGCTACTCAGGAGGCTGAGGTGGGAGAACTATCTGAACCTGGGAGGCAGAGGTTGCAGTGAGCCGAAGTTGCTCCACTCAACTCCTCCAGCCTGGGTGACAGAGCAAGACTCCATCTGAAAAAAAGAAAGAAAGAAAAAAAAATGGAAGTAGTTGTAAGCAGTGGTATGGTAGTATGAGTCTGTTTTGTTACTTATAACAAAAAAAAAAAAGCTGAAACTGGGTAATTTATAAAGAAAAGGAAAAAAAAGAAGAAAAAATATAAATATCATCTTGAAGAAGATAAAGAAAAAAAGAAGAAATGAAATTTATATACTACAGTTCTGAAGGCTGAGACATCCCAGGTCAAGCGTCCACACCTGGTGAGGAGCTTCTTGCTTGTGGAGACTCTGCAGAGTCCTGGGACAGTGCAGGGGAATGGGTAGTGATATAGTTTGAATCTGTGTCCCTGGCCAAATCTCATGTCAAAATGTAATCTCCAGTGTTGGAGGTGGGGCCTGATGGGAGGTGACTGGATCATGGGGGCAGAGTTCTCATGAATGGTTTAGCACCATCCCCCCTTAATACTGTATAGTGAGTGAGTTCTCATGAGGTCTGGTTGTGTCAAAGTGTGTGGCACCTCTCTTCCTCCTACTCCAGCCACGTGAAGATGCCAGTTCCTCCTATGCCTTCCACCTTAACTGGAAGCTTCCTGAGGCCTCCCCAGAAGCAGAAGCCATTATGCTTCTTGTACGGCCTGCAGAACTGTGAGCCCAATTAAACCTCTATTCTTTGGCTGGGCATAGTGGCTCACGCCTGTAATCCTAGCACTTTGGGAGGCCCAGGCAGGTGGACTGCACAATGCCATTTTATAAACCTGGGAGCTCAGGAGTTCAAGAGCAGCCGGGGCCACAAGGTGGAACCCCGCCTATACTAAAATACAAAAAATTAGCTGGGCGTAGTGGCATGTGCCTGTAGTCCCAGCTACTCAGGAGGCTGAGGCAGGAAAATTGCTAGAACCCAAGGCAGATGTTGCAGTGAGCTGGCACTGCACCACTACACTCCAGCCTGGGCAACAGGGCAAGACTCTGTCTCTTACAACAAACAAACAACAACAACAACCAACCTCTATTCTTTATAAATTACCCAGTCTCGGGTATTTCTTTATAGCAATGCAAGAACAGACCAGTACAGGTGGCAAGGGGGCTGAGCATGCTCACATCTCCCTTCTTCTTCCTATAAAACCACCAGTTCCACCCATGATCACCCGTTAATCCTTCATAACCTAATCACCTCTTAATAGTCCCACCTCTCAATACTGCCACATTGGGCCAGGCTTGGTGGCTCATGCCTATAATCCCAGCACTTTGGGAGGCCAAGGCAGGCAAAACCCTTGAGCCCTGGAGTTGGAGACCAGCTTGGGCAATATTGCAAAACCCCATCACTACAAAAAATACAAATATTAGCCAGTCATGGTGGCATGCACCTGTAGTCCCAGCTACTCAGGAGGGTGAGGTAAGAGGATCACCTAAGCTTGGGGAGGTCGAGGCTGCAGTGAGCCATGATTGTGCCACTGTACTCCAGCATGGGCGACAGAGTGAGACCCTGTCTCAAAAAAAAAACATACCATCACATTGAGGATGAAGTTTCAACATGAATTTTGAAGGGGACCAACATTTAAACAATAGCAGTGGTGATGAAAATAAGTAGACAAGGCCAAGGCAGGTGGATCACTGGAGGTCAGGAGTTCGAGACCAGCGGCCAACATGGTAAAACCCCACTTCTAAAAATACAAAAATTAGCAGGCATGGTGGCAAATACCTGTCATCCCAGCTATTCGGGAGGCTGAGGCACAAGAATCACTTGAACTCGGGAGGCAGAGGTTGCAGTGAGCCAAGATCGTGCTACTGCACTCCAATGGCAAAGTGAGACTCTGTCTTAAAAAAAAAAAAGAAAAGAAAAGAAAAGAAATAGAAAGAGATGAGCAAAAGAGGTAGAATCAGATCAGTAGGACTTAGAAACAGCATAAATAACAGTGAGTAAACACATGGGCTGTGCCATCAAAGTGAATCTAAACCCCGGCTCTGCTGTGGTTTACACATCCATTTCCTCACCTATAAATGGGAGTTTATGAGAGTACAGCGCCACTTCATGGAATTGTAGATTCAATTTTACATTGCAAATGCCAAGAACTCTGCAAGTGCCTGGGACATTGTAGCTGCTCAATAATATATGAGCCTCTGTTATAATTCTTATCATCATTTTATTAATCACCAGACAGAGGCAGAAGATAACCTCAAACTTAACTGTATTCCAAACTTATTACTGCTGCCTTTTCTTAACCCCTGAAATTTACTCCTTCACCTGCATCTCCTTTCTTGCATATTAGTAATACTATCTCCCTCTAGTGCCTAATCCAGGACTCAGGAACCATTCCAGCCCAAACCTTTCCCTTCTCAGCCTCTATATCTACATCCTTCAGACTTGGAGACTAATAAACAAATAAGTGAATTAATGGCACATGTTGAAAGTTCCCTACATAATTTGTTTTCAGTGTGTTCTACTCTCAGGATATCTTCCCAACTCCAGATGTTTGATGAATGTTTACTTCCATTTGTGTGTGTGTGTGTGTGTGTGTGTGTGTAATACTTAGCTCTTCTAGAATGTATTTGGTGTACTGTGAAGAGAAAATCTAAATTTTTCCCTAAGTAGCTTACTACCATAGATAAGAAGCAGGGAGGGTGAGAAAGGAAGAAAAAAAGAGGCTGGATGGGGTGGCTCACTCCTGTAATCCCAGCACTTTGGGAGGCTGAGGTGAGCGGATCCTGAGGTCAAGAGTTCAAGACCAGCCTGGCCAATATGGTGAAACCCCGTTTCTACTAAAAATACAAAAATTAGCTGGGCATGGTGGCATGTGCCTGTAGTCCTAGCTACTCAGGAGGCTGAGGCAGAAGAATTGCTTGAACCCGGGAGGCAGAGGGTGTAGTGAGACAAGATCATACCACTGCACTCCAGCCTGGGTGACAGAGAGAGACTGTTTCAAAAAAAAAGAAAGAAAAAGAAAAAAAGAGAAAATGGCCAGCTCGCTAGGTGCTAAGATAAATTGGTAGCATTTACATCATTCCCTCGTTTAGGTTTTGATTTTCAGAAACTGATCGGAAACGTGATTTTGTTCTACAAAAAGATGATCTGTTTCTTAGGACCAAACACCTTCCTACTTCCCTCCTTATTCCCCCATCCTCTGTCTTCAATCAAGCTCACAGAGTTTGTATATAGGTCTATATATGTTATATATCTGTATGTGGTATGTCAGATATACCATACCTACAAGAGAGACACAATGCAATTTTATAAGTTATGATGAAAATGTAAACCTCAAAGGGACAGATATTTGTTTTCCACTGACCAACATGTTCTCCATTCCTTATGAGGAAGTGATATAGAAAGTCAGTCATTAAAATCTTGCTCACCAAGCCTGAAGTCAGTATAAGGATGTCTGGATATACGCTCAGGAAATCTAGGCTGGAGATAAAGATTCAGGAATCATCAACAGAGGGTGGCATTCAAAAGATTTTAATAACTGATTATGATAAGAGTTTGGTAAAACAGACCGGGCACAATGGCTCACACCTATACTCCCCACACTTTGGGAGGCTGAGGCAGGTAGATGTTTGAGCTCAGGAGTTTGAGACTAGCCTGGGCAACATGGTGAAACCTCATCTCTACAAAAAAATTTAAAAACTAGCTGGGTGTGGTGTTGTGGGCCTGTAGTCCCAGCTACTTGGGGGCTGAGGTGGGAGGATCACTTGAGCCATGGAGTTAGAGGCTGCAGTGAGTTTGGATGATGTCACTGCCCTTTAGCCTCAGTGACAGAGTGAGCAACATCTTATTCAAATTAAATTAAATGTTGATGAGATGGTTTCTGTACATTTACATTTAGCATTATTTGTCCTGGAATCCAAGGCACAAGAGAGGCAATGAATTAAAAATGGAGTTCCATACAACTGCCTGGATACCAGTTTAAAAAAAAATAAAAGTGTAGTTCAAGTATGTATCCTGGATATTTAAAAAAAAAAAATTCAGCCCACATTCAAAAGGATACACTATACTGCCTCAAGAGAGTATTCAAAATAAAGATGTCATTTTAAAAAATTAGCAATAAGTGAACAGGGAGACCAAAAAGATCAGAACACTGAATATCTTAGTGAATTTTCAAGAAAGAGATCCATTCTCTGACATATAAAATATACAACTATGCCAGGAATCAGGCTCAAGATGAGCCTGTAATCCCAGGGGGGTGGATCACAAGGTCAAGAGATCGAGACCATCCTGGTCAACATGGTGAAACCCTATCTCTACTAAAAATACAAAAAATTAGCTGGGCATAGTGACATGTGCCTGTAATCCCAGCTACTCAGGAGGCTGAGGCAGGAGAATTGCCTGAACCCAGGAGGCAGAGGTTGCAGTGAGCCGAGATCGTGCCATTGCACTCCAGCCTGGGTAAACAAGAGTGAAACTCTGTCTCAAAAAAAAAAAAAAAAATCTACAACTATAAAATTCTACTTTTTGTCAATGCATTTAAGTGACATAGATCAAGAATTAAAACTTTTCATACCTGGAAATTTATGAATGCTCCTCTTGAATGGAATGAAAAAGGGAAGATTCTAAGTCAAACACTGTTTGAAGGATTGCCCTGTAGAGAGAGAAAATAGATATTTATAATGTACTTTTCTAATAAGAGGCAGAAAGATCTGCTAAGGTACAAAATATTTATTTAAATATATTATATAAGGGCCAGGCATGCTGGTTCATGCCTGTAATCCCAACACTTTGGGAGGCTAAGATGGGCGGATCACCTGAGATCAGGAGCTGGAGACCAGCATGGCCAACATGGTGAAACCCTGTCTCTACTAAGTATACAAAAATTAGCCATGCATGGTGGCAGGTGCCTGTAATCCCAGCTACTCAGGAGGCTGAGGCAGGGAGAACTGCTTGAACCCGGGAGGCAGGGGTTGTAGTAACCCGAGATCCTGCCACTGCACTCTAGCTTGGGCAATAGAGTGAGACTCCATCTCGAAAAAAAAAAAAAAAGTTATATAACAGCCTCTATCAGATATCATTTTTAACATGTAAAAATAGACTATCTGGCACAGATTATTAATAATAGTTAATAGTTAATAATTATAGTTAGTAGAAAATCATCAATAATTAGTAATATATAATACATAACAAACATGTAATATAATATACGATATATAATAATATAATATAAATAAATCAATATTAACAGTAATAGTTAATAGAAACATCATTTTGCTTCAAATTGGCTTGGAACTCTTTTCAAAGAAATATATACATTTTATATACGTATTTTTATGTTTTAAATATATAACTTTCTAACCTCAATCTTAATATTAAAATTTATGAGAAGAGATTTCCAATATTAAAAAATATTATGACAAAAGCAACCATCCTTTTTTGTTTTTTTGAGATGGAGTCTTGCTCTGTTGTTGAGGCTGGAGTGCAGTGGCGCGATCTCAGCTCACTGCACCCTCCACCTCTCTGGTTCAAGCAATTCCCCTGCCTCAGTCTCCCAAGCAGCTGAGATTACAGGCTCACACTACCACACACAGCTAATGTTTTTGTATTTTTAGTAGATATAGAGTTTTACCATATTGGCCAGACTGGTCTCGAACTCCTGACCTCAGGCAATCTGCCCGCTTTGAACTCCCAAATTTGGTAATTGAAAAAGTTTAAAATACCGTAGAAATTGAAGAGTTTTTTGGGGGGCTTTTTGAACCATATGTAGATTTTCCCACTTCCCTCTTACCTATAGTTTGTAAGATATGTTGAATTTTTAAAGCTATTCTGTTCAGTTTTCTTGCAAAACATATTGATGACATTTGGAGGGAAAAAGCAATAGGACTTCACTATGTTGGTATCATCTGCTGGCCTGTCTTTGATAATGTTGTCTTAAGTTTATTTTATTGTCAAAGTTAAAAAGTATGTTTGGGGCTGGACATGGTGGCTCACACCTCTAATGCCAGCACTTTGGGAAGGGGAGGTGGGCGGACCACCTGAGGTTAGGAGTTCCAGATCAGCCTGGCCAAGATGGCAAAACCCTATCTCTACTAAAAATACAAAAATTAGTCAGGTGTGGTGGTGGGCCCCTGTAATCCTGGCTACTCAGGAGGCTGAGGCAGGAGGATCACTTGAACCTGGGACGGGGAGGTTACAGTGACCAAAGATCTCGCCGTTGTGTTCCAGCCTGGGCAACCGAGTGAGACTTTTTCTCAAAAAAAAAAAAAAAAAGATGTATGTTTGGGCCGGGGACAGTGTCTACACCTATAATTCCAGCACTTTTGGAGTCTGAGGTGGGAGGATCACTTGAGCCCAAGAGTTCGAGACCAACCTGGGCAACATGACAAAACTTCATCTTTCCAAAAAATACAAAAAGTAGCTGGGCATGGTGATGCATACTTGTAGTCTCAGCTACTTGGGGGATAAGGAGGAAGAATCCTTTAAGCCTGGGAGGTCAAGACTGCAGTGAGCTGTGATCATGCCACTACACTCCAGCCTGAGTGACAAAGTGGACTGTCTCAAAAAAAAAATGGCTGGGCACAGTAGCTCACACCTATAATCCCAGTACTTCGGGATTACATTTGCTGGCATTAGAGGTGTGAGCCACCATGTCCAGCCCCAAACATACTTTTTAACTTTGACAATAAAATAAACTTAAGACAACATTATCAAAGGCAGGCCAGCAGATGATACCAACATAGTGAAGTCCTATTGCTTTTTCCCTCCAAATGTCATCAATATGTTTTGCAAGAAAACTGAACAGAATAGCTTTAAAAATTCAACATATCTTACAAACTATAGGTAAGAGGGAAGTGGGAAAATCTACATATGGTTCAAAAGCCCCCCAAAAAACTCTTCAATTTCTACGGTATTCCAAACTTTTTCAATTACCAAAATCAAAATGACTCAACTTTTTTTTTCATTGACCATCATGGTTTTGTTATTGTAGAAAGTGTAAAGGCTTTATTTCCATAAGCAGTGGAAAAAGGAATTTTATGCTTGTTAAACCAAGTAATTAAGCTAAGAATTTCCACCAAAATAATTTTGATTGACCAATGAAATTGCTTTAAAAAATAATGTTTTTTTTCTGATTTTAAAAGTATTATGTGCTTATAGAAAATTTAGAAAATACAGTTCGGGAAAGAGGGACATTCTAGCAAAGGTTGAGCAGAGAAGACAGCATTTATGGAAAACTGAAAGAAATGCATTATACTTTTATATATCAAGAAAGAGTTCCTTGCTGTGCAGTGGGGAGTTGGCATTATCTGCTCAGACTGTGCAGACGGTGGAGTGGAGGTCAGAGTCTAGAAAACAACGTTGGCCGCTGGGAATAATTAAGACAACTCCATTGAGTCATGGTTTATGACTAGCTTGGCTCATACTTGGGCAAGATTCATTGGGTGTTTTGTTTCAGACTTTGAAAAAAAAAAAAAAAAAAAAAGAAAATTTAGAAAATACAGGTAAGCGGCCAGGCACAGTGGCTCTCACCTGTAATCCCAGCACTATGGGAGGCCGAGGCAGGTGGATCATGAGGTCAGGAGTTCAAGACCAGCCTGGCCAGTATGGTTAAACCCCATCTCTACTAAAAATACAAAAATCAGCCGGGTATAGGGTGGCGTGCGCCTGTAGTCCCAGCTACTTAGGAAGCTGAGGAAGGAGAATCACTTGAACCCGGGAGGTAGAGGTTGCAGTGAGCTAAGATTGCACCACTGCACTCCAGCTTGGGTGACAGAGCGAGACGCTGTCAAAAAAAAAAGAAAATACAGCCAAGTATAAAGAAGAGGAGCTGGGCCCAGTGGTTCACGCCTATAATCCCAGCATTTCAGGAGGCAGAGACAGGAAGGTCACTGGAAGCCAGAAATTCCCGACCGGCCTAGGCAACATAGTGAGACCTGTCTCTAAATAAAGAAATAAGAAAACAAACTGAAATAACTTTTTTTTTTTGAGACAGTCTCACTCTGTCACTCAGTGCAGTGGTGTGACCATGGCTCACTGTAGCCTTGACCTCCCAGGCTCAAGTGATCCTCCAGCCTTAGCCTTCTGAGCAGCTGAAACTACAGGTGTACCAGGCTAAATTCTGTATTTTTTGGAGACAGGGTTTTTCCATGATGCCCTTGAAATCATAGACTGAAGTGATCCTCCCACCTTGGTCTCCCAAAGTATTGGAATGATAGACATGAGCCACTGCACTTGGCCCAAAATTAATAGTTTTTGAGAACAACTTAATGCTATACTAAAAGCTCATCTGTCGCCTAGCTGTAATGAGCCAGAAGGGCATTCAGAGAATGGCTTTTACTTGGATTGCTTCACTGCTTCAACACTGTCACTTAAGGGCATGTTAACTGCTGTCCAGCGTACTGGGTGTGTACAGTGGTAATTTGTGGCTTAAGAGAACTGATTTCTTTTTTTTTAATTGAGTCAAGGTCTCACTCTCACCCAGGCTGGAGTACAGTGGCACAATCCTGACTTGCTGCAACCTCTGTCTCCCAGGTTCAGGGATGTTTGCATTTCAGCCACCCGAGAAGCTGGGACCACAGGTGTGCACCACCACATCCGGATAATTTTTTTTGTATTTTTTGTAGAATGAGGTCTCGCCACATTGCCCAGGCTGGTCTCAAACTCCTGGACTTGAGCAATCCACCCACAACCTCAGCCTCCCAAAGTGCTGGGATGATAGACATGAGCCACTGCACTTGGCCAAAAGAACTGACTTCTGAGCACGGTCTGTGTCCCAAACAGTTTTTACATACTGATGGAATGTTATGTTTTGAGATAACCACCAAGTTCCACTTTAGCAGATTTTAGTGTATATCTGTGGATGCACACACAGCATCCTTTTTAAAAAGGGTCTCACTACATTGCCCAGGCTGATCTTAAACTCCTGGGCTCAAAAGATCCACCCACCTCGGCCCCCGCAAAGTGCTGGCATTACAGGCATGAACCACCTTGCCTAGCCATGAGCATCCTTTCTAACTTACTTCTGGAAAACTAAAAAGTTCATTTCCCAGACTCCTTCACAATTCAGTTTCCCATGTGAAATGTGGCCCATCAGTGAGATGTTCTGTGAGATCTGGAAGGCAGAAATGAGGTGGGAACCATCTTTCTTCTGTTTTGGCTGTTAATGCTGGCAAGCACATTTATGAAAACATTTATTTTTTCACAGCAGAATTCTACTGTCAAAAGCTTCATAATTGTCAAGAGACAAACATGGTGAAGACACGAGTCACTATTTGGTAGGAGTTCAGGTAAGTTAGGGGTAGCAGGCGTGTTTCCTTTTACTTATTTATATTCAGAGGCAGGGTCTCACTGTGTCACCAGGATGAAGTGCTGAAGTACAGTGGTGCAATCATAGCTCACTATAAACTCAGACTCCTGGGCTCATAGGGATCCTCCCACTTTGGTCTCTGAAAGTTCTGGATTACACTGCGCACAGCTTGAAGAAGTTAGTCGACCCCTAAATTACACTAGCGATGACACTGGCAGCCTCCCACTCCCTAGGGGGCCTGTTGGGCAGCTTTTTTTTTTTTTTTTTTTTTTTTGAGACGGAGTTTTACTTTTGTTGCCCAGGCTGGAGTGAAATGGTGCAATCTCTGCTCACTGCAACCTACACCTCCTGGGTTGAAGTGATTCTCCTGCCTCAGCCCCCTGAGTAGCTGGGATTACAGGTGACCCCTAGGATGCACGGCTATTTTTTTATTTTTAGTAGAGACGGGGTTTTACCATTTTGAGCAGGCTGGTCTTCAACTTGTTTGTTCCCCCCCTCCCCGCCCTGCTGGTCTTGAACTTCTGACCTCAGGTGATCCACCCACCTCGGCCTCCCAAAGTGCAGGGATTACAGGTGTGAGCCACTGTGCCTGGCCTGGACAGTCTTATTCTGAGAACAATGTCTGAAGGTCCAGCTTGGAGCCCACTCCTCTCAGACCTTCCAATTTTTTTCTAAACACCTAATTCTCTTCTGCTTAAGACATTAGAGTGGTTTCTCTTTCCTCCAACTAGATCCAGACAATATATTGGCAACTAATTAGCCTCAATATTTGAGTAGAAGGGCGAGTAGTTTGTTTATGAATGGCAGCACCAGGCAGTGTGGTCCAGAGTATAAGCTCTGGCATGAGACTGCCTAGGTGAAAATTCTGGGTCTTCTGCTGAGTGACATGGGAAGTTGGCCTTCTGTGCCTTAGTTTCTTCATCTGTAAAATGGGGGTTGATAGGGTTTGGATCTGCCTCCCCACCAAATCTCATGTTGAATTGTGATCCCCAGGGTCGGAGGTAGGGCCTAGTAGGAGGTGACTGGATCATGAGAGCTGTTTCTCATGAATGGTTTCATACCATCCCCCTTGGTACTGTCCCCATGATAGTAAGTTCTCGTGAGATCTGGTTGTTTCAAGGCGTATAGCACCTCCTCCCACTCTCTCTCTTGCTCCTGCTCCTGCATGTGAGATGTCTTGCTCCCCCTATGTCTTCTGATTGGAAGCTTCTTGAGGCCTCCCCAGAAGACAAGCAGATGCCAGCATCACGTCTCCTGCACAGCCTGTGGAACCATGAGCCAGGTAAATTTCTTTTCTTTACAAATTACCCTGCCTCAGATAATTTTTTTGTTTTTGTTTTTGAGATGGCGTCTTGCTCTGTTGCCCAGACTGGAATGCAGTGGTGCAATCCCAGCTCAAACTCCTGACCTCAGATGATCCACCTGCATTAGCCTCCCAAAGTGCTGGGATTACAGGTGTGAGCCACTGTGCCTGGCCAGGTTTGTTTCTTTGTTTGTTTTTGAGACGGAGCCCCCCTCCATCACCCAGGCTGTGTAGTGGTGTGATCATGCAGTGGTGTGATCTTGGCTCACTGCAACCTCTGCTTCCCGAGTTCAAGCAATTCTGTCTCTGCCTCTGGAGTAGCTGGGACTACTGGTGCATGCCACCACACCTGGCTAATTTTTGTATTTTTAGTAGAGACGAGGTTTCACCATATTGGCCAGGCTGGTCTCAAACTCCTGATCTCATGATCCACCTACCTTGGTCTCCTAAAGTGCTAAGATTACAGGCGTGAGCCACAGCACCTGGCCCAATTTCAAAACTATATTTCTTTTTATCAATGTGAACATGGACTAAGACAGGAATAATAATAATACTTACAGCTTACAGAGCTGTGAGATGAAGTAAATGAGAAGATAATCCAAGCAAGTGCTTATAACAGTGCCTGGCTTATAACAAGCCCTTGATAAATGTCAGCTATTATTATTATTAATGATCTAAACATTTTAAAATACTGCTTTCACTGAGTAGAAAATGTAAACATTTCAGAATTTTATTACCAGACATTTTCTTGTTTTATACAAACGTGGATATAGAAAAAAACTTTTTGACTGGTTTTATCATATTTGTGTAACTACACAGTGAGAGTGATCATTTCAAAACTATATGTGTACCTGAGAATAGCAACCTTCTGCCCCAACTAGTCAATTATAGACCTCACCTTAAGGAAGAATTATTCTTTCTTTTTTTTTTAGGCAGGGTTTTACTCTGTTGCTCAAGCTGGAGTGCAGTGGTGAGATCACAGCACACTGTAGCCTTTACCTTCCCGGGCTCAAGGGATCCTGCCACCTCAGCCTCCCGAGTACAGGTGTGTGCCAAATTATTCTTTAGAAATGATTTTTACCTTTTTTTTTTTTTTTTTTTTTTGTGATGGAGACTTGCTCTGTCACCCAGGCTAGAGTGCAGTGGTGTGATGTCAGCTCACTGCAACCACTGCTTCCTGGCTCAAGCAATTCTCCTGCCTCAGGCTCCCAAGGAGCTAGGTTTATAGACACGCACCATCACACCCAGCTAATTTTTGTATTTTTAGTAAAGACGGGGTTTCATTATGTTGGTCAGGCTGGTCCTGACCTCCTGACCTCAAGTGATCTGCCTGCCTTAACCTCCCAAAGTGCTGGGATTACAGGTGTGAGCTACTGTACCTGGCCAATTTTTGCCATTTTTCCATTTAATTGTTACCTCATTAATTATGCTCTATCAACCAGGGTGTTTATTATTGAAACTAAGAAAATGTTACCACAGAAGCATTTGCATGAGAATGAGATCTACAATCTAAAATAAGATTTGCAACCTAAAAGTTTACATTTTAATGCTGCTGAGTACAGTGGCTCGAACCTGTAGTCTCAGCTACTCAGGAGGCTGAGGCAGAAGGGAGGATCTCTTGAGCTCAGGAGTTCAAGGCTGCAGCAAGCAATGATCATGCCACTGCACTCTAGCCTGGGAAACAGAGGAAGACTCCAACTCTGTTAAAAAAAAAAAAAAAAAGTAAAAACTTAGAATGATATTCTAATATACATATGAAAAAGGTCATGGATAAAATTATGGCTTGGTTTGGTTTGCTGAAGTATCTTCCAATGATTAAAAATACATTGTAGAGAAAAAAAAATACATTGTAGATTTTGGAATAAAACTTCCCCCAGCCGGGGTCGTAGCTCATATCTATAATCCTAGCACTTTGGAAGGCACTGGCAGGAGGATCACTTGAGCCCAGGCGTTTGAGACTAGCCTGGACAACATGGTGAGACCTCGTCTCTACAAATAATTAAAAAATTAGCTGAGTGTGTAGTAGTACATGCCTGTGGTCCCAGCTACTCAGTAGGCTAAGGTGGGAGGATCACTTGAGCCTGAGAGGCTGAGGCTGCAGTGAGCTCTGTTATTGTGCCACCGCATGCCAGCCTGGGCAACAGGGCGAGACCCTGTCTCAAAAACAAAAACAAAAAACTTCCCCCAGATATTCTGAGACTGTAAGAATTTTATGTTGGACCTAGTCCAACAGTGCCAGGGAGACAGAAGGAACTGAAGGTGATATAAGGCATCGGTGTTTCACAGGCTGCTAAGAGCCACAGGACTCAAAGCAGTGGAGATTTTCTGAAGGGTCAGAAAAACAGGTGAAAGAAAGCAATTTCATCTTTTGATACAGTAATTAATTTTACATTGTTCAGAACTCCATAGAGGTATATTTTCCTTTTTTAAATTCCTGAGACAAGGTCCCCACCAGCCTGGAGTGCAGTGGTACCATCTTGGCTCACTGCAGCCTTGGCCTCCGGGGCTCGAGTGATCCTGCTTCAGTCTCCCACATAGCTAGGACTACAGCAGTGCACCATTATGTCTGGCTCTTTCTATATTTTAACAGAAAAATATTTTATTCTTATTTATCTATTGTTTTTTGAGACAGAGTCATACTCTGCCACCCAGGCTGGAGTGCAGTGGCACCATCTCGGCTCACTGCAGTCTCCCCTTGCTGGGTTCAAGCATTTCTTGTGCCTCAGCCTCCTGAGTAGTTGGGATTACAGGCAGGTACCACCATATCCAGCTAATTATTGTATTTTTAGTAGAAACAGCGTTTCACCATGTTGGCCAGGCTGGTCTCAAACTCCTAACCTCAAGTGATCTGCCCGCCTTGGCCTCACAAAGTGCTGGGATTACATATGTGAGCCACTGTATCTGGTCCTTTTATTCTATTTTTTTTTCCCTCGTAAAGAATGCTTTCTATATTGTATTTTTATGCAAAGGACAGATATTCAAATTGAAAGGTGAAACACATTAATTCAAGACATATTTATTGAGCAACTACTCTATACCAGATTATACCTGATCCTGAGAATACAGAGGTGATGACATGTCAAAGATCAGTGCTCACACTCAAGCAGCTCACTGTCTACTAGGAGAGAGAGTCATACAGAGAAGAGACAGAGAGATGTTTAGACAAAGTGACAATACAATGAAGAAAACACTCATAGAAGAATGGAACTGTAAAACCAAGAAAGCAAATGATTGTAACTGGGAGTGTTGAGAAACGTTTCCAAAAGGGTTGAGTCTTGAAGCATGAAAAGAAGTTTATACTGAGAAAGAGGGCAAAAGGCATTCTAGCCAGAGAGAGCACCAAATGCGAAGGCAAAAACAGATATTAAACAGCATGGCCTCCTTGGGGATAAGCAGCTTGCTATATGCCGGGTGCGGTGGCTCACGCCTGTAATCCCAGCACTTTGGGAAGCTGAGGTGGGCGGATCACCTGAGGTCAGGAGCTTGAGACCAGCCTGGCCAACATGGAGAAACTCCCATCTCTACTAAAAATACAAAAAAAATAGCCAGGCATTGTGGTGGTCGCCTGTAATCCCAGCTACTAGGGAGGCTGAGGCAAGAGAATTGCTTAAACTCAGGAGTTGGAGGTTGCAGTGAGCCAAGATTGTGCCATTGCACTCCAGCCCAGGCAACGGAGTGGGACTCTGTCTCAAAAAAAAAAAAAAAAGAAGCAGCAAAGAAGCTTGCTATAGTGGATGGGGGAACAGGGAAGAGATAGCATTAGGAGAAATCCCTAATGTAGATGATGGGGTGATGGATGCAGCAAACCACCATGGCATATGTATACCTATGTAACAAACCTGCACATTCTGCACATGTACCCCATAACTTAAAGTATAATTTAAAAAATAAATTAAAAAAAAAAAGAAGAAGAAGCTTGCTATAGCTAGAGACTTCAAGCCTATGGAAGGGTGGCAGAAGAGGAAACTAGAAAAGTATGCAAGAGCTAGATCTTAGAAGCCCCTCCACTTTTGTGGGTTCTGGGCACTTTTGAATGATTTTAAAAAGAAGAAAAACAGGATTATAGGTCTACCAATCATTAGCTGTGTGACTCCATCAAGGCACTTAACTCTTAGCATTGGTTTCCTTTTTGTCAAATGAGGCTGA